AATGCAACAGAAAATGTGTGAGAATTCAAATAATAAATGGAGATTAGGGCGGAACAAATTCATCTATTAGTCACCTTTGCTTCTAATATCGAGATTCATAAAATTAAAGTAGTGTTCGGTAGAATTCTTCTATGGTATTCAATTCACTCCTCTCAAGTTCTCATTGAACCTATTTAAATAATTCAATTACATATCTCTATGCGAACCAACATTATTTAAACGAAATAATAGTTCTAAGAATTCCTATAGGACTGTAGCAATTAATATAGGTATCTCTACACGTTATATTAATTTTTCGAATTTTAATATGTGGTCTAAATAAGAATACGCATCTTTACGTAATTATTGTTCACGACATCATTGAATAATTGGCCAGAAAATTCAAAACATTAAAAACATAATTAAAATCCGCAGATAAAATATAAAATAACAAGAATCTCAAATAAAAGAAATAAAGGATCCCAAATCAATTACATTATTTGCCCTAAAATTAAATTTAGCTATGCATATTAATTAAAGAAAAACAAGAAATTATGGAGTTCATCACCCAGTTAATTGAAGGAACGTGAATAATTTCCAATTATGCTGTCTGCCGTCTCCTTCCTCTGTGCGGGGCTCTGAAATTCTCTTTAATGGCAGCAGAAATAATTTTTCCCACTGGCCAAAGTGTCTCCAAAATATTTATTGGATGTGCCTCTTTTTCCGTGCGTGTCAAAGAAATTGGCAGAAGGTGTGTGGAAAATATATCATAATAATGGCTGCTTTTTTTTCCTCTCTCCTCCCAGCAGATGCAGAAATTCACTCTCCCTCTCTCTAGGTTTATACGTGTATCCTACCTTCTCTTATAAGAGTCGCTTTGAAATTTACTGTTCATTTTTTTAACCCTCATTTTCACACTTGGTTAGTTAACTATTTCTAAAACTGATTTTGGCTTTTCCTACATTTTCTCTTATAATCTCCCCTTTTTCCCTTTTTTTTACCTTAAAAGAGAGGATGCCAACATTACTATTTATCTTGAGGCAGAGCTTTCACACTAAATTTGTTCCCTACTGTAGTTAAACTCATTCAGCATTATTTTCACTCAAAAGAAGCTTTAATTATTTCTAGTGTTCATCACAGAAATGAAATTAATACAACTGCTTTATTGCTTTTCATTGTTGACTTAAACAAGTAATTTACTGTAGCTCCATGTTCATTCTCTATTATCTATTATCCATATTATATTACGATAAAAGAGGCAATATGTCAATTACTGTTCATTCAGACCGTATTTTGAGTTTTTACGTCCAAAAATCCTACCATCTCTTATAAGAGCCGCTTTGGAATTTGCTGATCATTTTTGTAACCCTCCTTTTCACACTTGGTTGAGTTAACTATTCCTAAACTGGTTTTGACTTTTCCTACCTTTTCTCTTATAATCTACCCTTTTTTCCTCCTTTTTTTCCCTTAAAAGAGAGGATACCAACATTACTATTTATCTTGAGGCAGAGCTTTCACACTAAATTGGTTCCCTACTGTAGTTAAACTTGTTCAACATTATTTCCACTGAAAAGAAGCTTTAATTATTTCTACTGTTATCCTTAGAAATGAAATTAATGCGACTGCTTTATTGTTGACTTAAAAAAGTAATTTACTGTAGCTCCATGCTCATTCCCTATTATCTATTATCCATATTATATTACAATAAAAGAGGCAATATGCCAATTACTGTTCATCCAAGCCATATTTTGAGTTTTTACGTCCAAAAATCCTACCTTCTCTTATAAGAGCCACTTTGGAATTTACTGTTCATTTTTGAAACCCTCATTTTCACACTTGGTTGAGTTAACTATTCCTAAACTGGTTTTGACTTTTCCTACCTTTTTTCTTAAAATCTCCCCTTTTTTTCCTTTTTTTTTCCCTTAAAAGAGAGGATGCCAACATTACTTTTTATCTTGAGGCAGAGCTTTCACGCTAAATTGGTTCCCTACTATAATTAAACTCGTTCAGCATTATTTTTACTGAAAAGAAGTTTTAATTATTTCTAATGTTCATCCACAGAAATGAAATTAATTGACTGCTTTATTGTTTTCCATTGTTGACTTATACAAGTAATTTACTGTAACTTCATGTTCATTCTCTATTATCTATTATCCATATTATATTACAATAAAAGAGGCAATATGCCAATTACTGTTCATTCAGGCCGTATTTTGAGTTTTTACGTCAAAAAAAAGATTACGTCATACACATAATATTTTTTTTAAGAAAATGATGTAAATTATATTGAGAACAGTGGAAAATGAGTAGGAAAAATAGTATAACAATTTATAACTCATATAAATTATAAAGTGATAATAGTTTTATTAGGAATTTTTACATCCAAAAAGAAAAATAATTGATATCATACACATAAATTTTTTTTTAAAAAATGATGTAAATTATATTGAAAAAATTATCGCGACAAAAATAATAAACATTAATAAAATAATTGATTTAAAAAAACGATGTGTCATGACATAATGTGCGTTTTTAATACACACGTTTAATGTGCGTTTAACTATTTTCGATATCCATTTACATCATTCGATGTGTCATGACATAATTCTCGAAATGAGTTTCGAGAGAATATCGAAAATTTATGCATTCGACTACCGTACAATCGTCGATAAATTTATAAAGTTAGCTTGGTATTGAAATTCTTAATTTTTTAAATGATGTCTCTTTTGACATTAAAAAAATTTAAAAGTTTATTAGGAAATTTTCAAAATGACATCAAAAATTATTGTCGCAAAAAAATAATAAACATTAATAAAATAATTAATTTTTCTTAAGAAAAAAGATGAGTTATATACATTTTTTAACACACACATTTGATGTACATTTAACTATTTTTTATATTCATTTTGATCATTCGATGTGTTTATGATATAGTTTTTTAAATGAGTTTCAAGAGAATATAGAAGATTTATGGTAAATATTTAAAAAAAATCACCAAAAGAAAAAAACAAACAAAAGCAACTTCGTGCATCATGAAACAATTGCTCCATGATGCACAGAGCAATTTTGCTCATGCTTCTAGGTGCCAAGAAAATTATTATTATTACTATTATTATTTTATCACTGTATGATATATAATATTATTTTCATAAGAAAATGATGAAAATTATATTGAGAAAACTGTCGCGAAAAAATAATAAACATTAATAAAATAATTAATTTTTTAAAGAAAAAAGACGAATTATACGTATTTTTAGCACACACATTTAATGTACGTTTAACTATTTTCGATATTCATTTAAATCATTTGACGTGTCTATGACATAGTTTTCGAAATGAGCTTCAAGAGAATATAGAAAATTTATGTATTCGACTATCATACAACCGTCGATGAATTTAAAAAGTTAGCATATTATCAAAATTCGTAATTTTTTAAATGATGTCTCTTTTGACTTTAAAAAAATTTAAAAGTTAATTAGGAAATTTTGT